CAATATATATATATGTATACATTAATATAAAATAAATCGCTTAATATGAATCGAAGAAAATTTACATATGAAATCTTTCTTGGTATCTATATATATATATATAATATATATATGATATATGATATATATAATGTATATATATATGATATAAAATATATATATAATATATATATGATATAAATTTATATATGATAATTTATATCATATATAAATTTTCTTCGATTCATATTAAGCGATTTATTTTGTCACTATCAACGAGACGCGTCCATATTTTGTTTCTGAATAATTTACGTGGTTCGCGTAGTACACAGAAATTACGTACCACGATAAAAGCATACGTCATACATGCGCTACGTATATATCACGCGCGCGCGGCGCTATAATAAAAAGTAATTCAAGGTGGATGCTCATGACTGCAAGCAAACGCGACCAACTTCGAGGCGGTCGACAAACTGACTGAAACGACCACAATCTCCTAATCTATACGAAAACGTCTTAAATATAACATCCAAGCGAGATGTTCCTGTGTATTAGCGATTCTTTCGAACTTTCAAAACGATCGGAACGACTGTGAGAGCCGGAAGCATTAACCATTTTGTTACATATTTTATTTTATACTTTCTTTTATTTCTTATTTTATATTTTATTTCGATGTACATTGATATACTATTGGTACTTCTACGATCGTAGGTAAAAAAATTTTTTACTTCATTTGAATTAAGCGTGAAAACGAGTCGAATACACAGAGAGTGTATATGAAGCGAAATAGAAATTTTTCAGAGGCGTTGTTTTTTCTTTCAGAATCAGGAAATGTGGACTTCGATGTAAAACAGATCAATGGAACGATCGCAGCGCTATATGTATGTCACTACTTAAAATTATTGTCTCGGGGTGCCGCCATTACCCATTCATGCGATTTGTCCGAGTTCCTTGCGCGTCAATGGCACCGAAATCTACCATTCAAAAGAACGCCCAACCGCTTCGCGATAGCGCATAACCTCAAGCCTTCGACCACTGTCCGAATCCCAACGAGAATCACACGACACACAGGGCACATATCATCGCCGAGTCATTGATCTCGTGAAAAATTTCCTAGATGCCCCTGTGATGCACCAACAGATTGCAGATGCATCTATTTATAATACCTAACCGTCAAAACTTTCGTCGATCCGAACTAATCTGAAATACCATCAATTTTCAATAACGTACGGATTAAATGGAACGCCTCTTTTAGAACGTTTTAGCACGTTAAATCTGTCAACGTGACGTCCGAAATTTGTCAACCATCCGTCAAGAAGATAATCATTAGTCGATCTGGCAAATCGAAACGTTTGCAAATCGATCTGACGTGATCGCAACGTGTCAAATCATCGACAAGAAAGAGCTTCTGTGATAAAATAGAACGTAGCTCCTGTTGTAAAATCTGAGGGACAGGTAACACGCAGAATGAAGAATGAGAAATCAAAGGACGTTCACGTACCTGGGTCATGACAGGGGTGGTATCTTCATGTTCCCACGGGGACTTAACACGGTTGGCTGTCAATGCGGCGATATATCCCGGTGTCGTCAGACGAGAACGATGCCACTGCAATGGTTGACCACCACTTCCACGCCATAACACGTCAGAAACGCGCGACCAAGTGTTACTCATATGACATTCTCCATCAGCAGGATCAACCCCGATGAACCCCGTCGATGAACGGTTTTGATTGACGTCCGACAACGCGGCACGAGAGAAGAATGTCGCACGGGCGGACGTGTGGCGAGCACGTTTTCGTTTGCAAGGTAAAACCGACTGTCCCTCCAGCAGCCCCGCGTTGGACGGTGGCTGCGGGATTGTTGGGGGTTGGGAACGACCGAACGGGAACAAGGAAGAGGTTAAACAAAGAGAGGCGTAGCGCGAGCGAGACGGCCAGCCAACGACTTGGCGATGTGACGCATCGTGGCGCCACCCTCAACCCTAACAAAAAATGTTATTACAAATAAACTTACAATATAGTTCACAATATTTTTTTTTTTCTTTTGTTTTAATTATCTCACAATGTTTTGCGATTTCGTTTTTATTCATTTGCAATTGGGAGTAAGTACGCTGTACTGGATGAAAATATTTAAACACTTACCATAGGAAACTATCGTTGCATTGTTGCACATGTTGTATAAAATATTTTGAAATTTCATTAGCGTTGCAACGAGATACCACTGATTATAATGTTGGAAAAATTTAAGACCAATTAGAAAATGTGTATATCTTGAAAATCACTGTTCGAAATTACATATTAATTGGGACAGGAAAGTATTTGCAGAGATCCATCAGCCTCTCGAGACATACTTAAAAAACTTGTGCGAATGAAACAGTAAATTCCAATATTATCTGCACCGTCGTTATCATGAAAAAGAACTACACGATAGAAAAATTTGTTATCTATAGAACATCGTACGATAGTAAAACAGTTCTAGTATTTCTCTTGTGTATACAAATTTCCGAGTACTTATATAAATGGCACACAACGTCTCGAAAACATGTTTTGTGCCGAATTGCTATAACAGGTAAGTAGAGTCATCGAAAGACTTTAAACATTAAACTCCAAAGTTCTTTTTAGATATCAAGTTCAGTGATACTGTGCGTTTCGAAGATGCGATAAACGTGTCAAAAATTTGATCAATTTATTCGTCTGTTTTTTTTTTGTTTTTTTTTCCTATTCAAAACCACAATGTCGTTGCGATATCATCAGTCGATAAGATACTCACTTTGGTATTTTGTCAATTTTTCCACTCAATTAGATAATCAAAATAAAAGTGTGGAAAGTATTTAATGTGCTTGCCAGTTATGCGAGGCCGGTAGAGATCAAAAATCGAGCTCCGATCTTTTTTCAAAGACACTTTTACTTTTTGTAAAGAGACTGTTTCGCAAGGTAATTAAAACGCAAATGAAAGAAATTATAGTTCTTTAACAGATACGAAGTAAGCAACAGCCCTTATAGTATTTTTACAATTCGTTTCTGCAACTTTTCCATACATTTTCTACAAATAACGATAACAAAATTTTATCGATAACAAATAACGATAACAAATAACGATTCGATTCTCGAAGCTACGCGTTTCAATCATTTGCCTCGCATTGGAATCCAACGCGGCATGTCTCGTTATTCCTTTCAGTCATTGAAATGTCAAGTTTATAGTCGTGTATGTAGCTTGTGTACAAACATTTCTAGTCTCGTAAACCGCTCTCCGTAATTCTCAAATAAACGTCGAGCCTCTTCGAAATTAACGTAAATTACGTTAATAGCTGTATGTACTCATCCGTTTAATCATCAGACTATTACGTGACAATTGTTTTCTTCTTTATTCCTTGTCATATTTCTTTCGAATAAACAGTTTTTTTTTTCAGTTAAAACACCCCGAAATATATACGTATTTTCCATTCGACGTGAAAATAATTCGTAAAACTTGAAGACACATGAAATTCATAATATTTTTAAGAAGAACTTATAGAATATGTGTTTCGAGGGATTGATCTGTTTCTTGGACTCGATCCAATCGAGTGATGTGTTATTGCAGTACACTATATGATTTGATAACTTTATACAATTCCGTTGTATAAATCCACGTTCAATAGAGATCCGCGTATTAAAGATTTAAAAAATCTTAATAATAAAGCGGCTTCACTGTATAATTGTTCATCTCCGTCGGACCTACATAAGAGTATATATAATACGATGATCGTTGGAAGTAGTCAAAGACAAAGGAGATTCGCAGAATAAAATACATAGGTACGACGATTGTCTCTGCTGGGCGTAATTGTATCGTAATAGTTACAACGGCGATTCAGATGCTTTAGTGTGCGAGTCTGTCTCATAATGTGTAAAGGAAATCAATATTCACACTACTGAAGCAGACGGTGATTGTGTGTGAAAATGAAATGGGGCATTGGGTGAAAGTACTCTTGGCTTGGAGGTCTTATATCAGATCAGTCTGCCAACAGCCGTGCAGGATGTGGATGGCGATGCCGCTTGGTTCCTAATGATCAGATCTTTTTGTTGTTCAGACTCCGACGGAGTTTCCTCTTTTTCTTAAATCATTCCATATTTTACGCATTATGCTACCAGGATCATAAAGTCAAAGATAATTTAGTGTCCGGTGTTTTACAAAAATCGGGTGGAAAGTCTTTTTTCAAACGGTTAGAAAGAAACGTGTACGTTTTTGCAGAATGTTGCAGATAATATGGACATGGTGTTTAGTTGTGTCAGTGGCAGATTTGACATTGTCTCTTGAAAATGGTCTGGCAAGAACACCACCCATGGGCTGGCTTGCCTGGGAACGATTCAGATGTAACACAGATTGCAAAAATGATCCGGACAATTGTATTAGGTGAGTACTGCTCTTTCATCTCTATTTCTACTAGTACTTTTAGAGTATAGTTTTACAAACCTTTTTTAATTTATGCACATGATTGAAGAATTACTTATTCTCCGTCTGAGTGACATACAATAGCATAATGTTATTCTCAAACATAAAGTGAAACTTCATTAGCATTTTTGTTATGTATCTTTAACTCTTCAGATTTTAACTCTTCATGATAGCAAGAAAGAATGTAAAATATGACTTACAAGTGTTTTATGAATTTCTCTGAAATTTTTTATTTTGTTCTATTGTTGTTTTGAATATAAAATATTATTCATTATATACATATATAAATATAATGTAAATATGTATATAAAAGTTTTCAATTAGAGTTAATAAAGTTTTTAATTGTGTTTATTATATAAAATGTTTATATTTATTACTAAATTGTTCATTGAGTATCATTAATAGTAAAATATTTAAAATCAAAATCAATATCATGTCATTAAAAATGTTCAGAAATTGTAAATGAATATATAAAAAAGTATGAAGTGTAACTTTTCTCTTACAAGATACCAATTACAATAAAATTACAGAATATTAAATCTGATTCATCAATATCTGACCTTAAGAATAATTCTTAATAATTTAACTCATTGTCAGAGCTGTATCATAGCCATTATATAAATCTGTATTCTAGTCCAAGGTGTTTTAGTAGTAATACATTACAAGTGAAACATATTTTAAAAGATGAATAATTGCATATTAGAGACTATGGCAAAAATGAATCTGTTTAAAATTATAAGGAATATATGTTCATATATTATAGTGATCGGCTCTTTCGAACAATGGCAGACATTGTTGTAGCAGAAGGCTATGCAGAAGTTGGATACGAATATATCAATATTGATGATTGTTGGTTGGAAAAAGACAGAAGTGTTAGTGGCCAGCTAATGCCAGATAGACAAAGATTCCCATATGGCATGAAAAGTCTTGCAAATTATGTAAGTTTTCACATACTATTCAACTTTTTAAGAAGTAATTTTATCACAAAAATTACAGATTTATTGTTATATACTTCTGCTATGTAGATTCATTCAAAAGGTCTTAAGTTTGGAATTTATCAAGATTTTGGTAATTACACATGTGCTGGTTATCCAGGAATATTAGGCTATTCAGAAACTGATGCACTTACTTTTGCATCGTGGGATGTTGACTATGTAAAATTAGATGGATGTTACTCCCATCCTTCAGAAATGGATAGAGGTACGATTAAAAAATCTAACAATTACACGTTTATTTAAAAAGTTCTACATTTATAATTCATCAAAAATTATAGGATATCCTGAATTTGGATTCTATTTAAATCAAACCGGTCGACCAATGATATATTCCTGCAGTTGGCCAGTTTATCAAATTTATGCTGGCATGCAGGTTGGTATTAATATAATATAATTACTGAAAACTATAAAGTCCTAAATTGCAAAATATTTTAGCCAAACTACACTGCCATAAGAGACCATTGTAATTTATGGAGAAACTTTGATGATATACAAGATTCATGGAATAGTTTAGAAACCATCATAGATTATTATGGCAACAATCAAGATGCAATTGTACCAAATGCTGGTCCTGGTCATTGGAATGACCCCGATATGTTGATTATTGGAAATTTTGGGCTAAGCTATGAGCAAAGCAAAACGCAAATGGCGTTATGGGCAATATTAGCAGCGCCTCTATTAATGTCTGTTGATTTAAGAACAATCAGACCTGAGTACAAAGCTATTTTACAAAATAGAAAAATCATTGCTGTAGACCAAGACCCATTAGGTATACAGGGTCGACGAATTTATAAAGTTAGTAAATTCATTTCAAGTATAAATAACAAACATGTTGAATGTACTTAAACTTCACCAAAATTTCAGCACAAAGGTATAGAAATTTGGGCAAGGCCAATAACTCCCATTTATCAAAATTACTATTCTTACGCTATAGCGTTCGTGAATAGAAGAACGGATGGTACGCCGTCTGATGTGTCTGTTACATTAAAAGAACTTGGATTACAGTATCCTGGAGGATACAATGTAGAGGTATGTAATCATGAATTTAATTAAATTTAAAAATGTTTCTTTAACCATTTTCAATAAAATACTAAAAATAATTATATTTCTAGGATCTGTATGAAGATGTGAATTACGGTATTCTAACGCCGCAAACAAAAATAAAAGTTAAAGTTAATCCTTCCGGAGTTGTGATATTACGGTGCGACTTACATTTAGAGGATATTTTCTCCACGAATCAATTTTCGCAATTTACGCCCTCAAATCAACTGTTCAAAGTTAGACAAAACTCATTTAAATAATACGAATTAAGTGTTAATGAATTTTAATTATAATTTACTTTTTTTGTCTTGTAATACTTGACAAGAGAACGTTACCATACTTTGTTAAGAAAGTAGGAAATAAAGAATTTTATAATCTGTATTTAATATAGTTTATATAAAAATATATGATCATATTATTTACAAACTGACTCCATTAATGCAAAAAATTATTGGTCTAATCCTTTGTTACGCACCACGTGTACGCATTATCGAAAATGCGTTGCCACGGTGAAATGGTATATTTCCAATCATTGGGCGTCCAAGGCCATTGCCACATTTTTGTACATCGTTCAGGATGTGGCATTATTGCTAAGTGTCGTCCATCCACCGAGCAAATACCAGCAATACCCTCTGCAATTAATTACAGATGTTATATAGTTCACAATATGAATCGCTATCTTGTCTTATATTTTCCATGTTACATAACATAAAAGAAATATGTAATCAAATAATACCTGTACTTCCATTAGGATTAAGTGGGTAACGTTCAGTTGGATTACCATAATCATCAGTATACTTAATAGCCAAACAATGACTTTCTTTTAGTTTTTGTAAAACGTCATTATTTCTAAATGTGAACCGTCCTTCGCCGTGAGCGATCCATACACCTAAAACACTGTTTTCCATTCCGTTTAACATGATCGATGATGATTTATCAATTTTAACGGTACTCCAACGGCATTCAAATCTTTCCGACACATTATGATTTAGAAAAACGTCCAATTCTTCGGTATCATCTGCAACACAAGAAAGCACTTAAAAACGCTGGTTGTATTTAATAATTTTGTAAATTCTTTTTATAATAAAACAGTACTATTTTTATCTCCTATCAATCCTAACAAAGACATTAATTGGCATCCATTGCAGACTCCTAAACTAAATGTATCTTCCCGAGAAATAAATGTTTTTAATTGTTTCTGGAGAGATGAATGAAATAAAAGACTAGCAGCCCATCCTTTAGCAGAACCCAAAACATCTGAAATAAATGTAAATTAAGTATTATTCGTTTCTGTTTTCTAAAATAACAATGATTCATTTAATAATTTAATACCTGCATAACTGAAACCACCAGGAAATATTATTCCTCTGAATCTATCGAATGTAACTTTATCTTGTAACAAGTCTTGCATTGTAACATCCCAAACTTCGAAACCAGCATCCATCAAAGATGCAGCCATTTCTCTATCGCCGTTTATACCTTCCTCTCTTATTACAGCAACTGCAATGGTTGCTATAAAAATGATAAAAAATGTAAATTTAATTCAACAAAATATTTTCAAAGTTTACATCGAATTTCTACTAACAAAACAAATTTTTATAAATCGCAGTTGGTCTAATGTCAGGATTAAATGTTAATTTATAAAATGGTGCAGTTCTATCTTTTAATCCACTGAATTCTTCGAGTGCACATTCAAAATTCGTTTGTCGACATTCTAATTGATAACTTGTTTCTTCCCACAAATTCATTAGCGGTAACACTGTTGAATCCAGAACAACCTTCTCTTGTACATGAACTTTTATCTAAGTAAATAAAATATCTTTTAAATAATTTTGTAATTTTGTATATTTATGTAATATATATAACACATACTTTCGATGACAATCCAAATCCTTCTGATCGCCCAATTAAATATATAGGAATATTGAATTGATTAAATACATTCAAAACGTGATTGTAATTCATTTGATCAATTTCTAATATCCATCCAATTTCTTCAGTAAATAATATTTCAATAGGGGATCCTGTTTTGTGAGAAATATTCACGTTTATTCCAGATATACCAGCAAAACACATTTCAAGCAAGCACGTAATGAGTCCACCATCGCTAATATCGTGACCTGCTAATATTTTTTCCTCTATTGTAATAAAAAATATTTCAAACATTAGTCATTTCTCTCATAACAAAATAAATTTTATAAACTATCTTAATTATGAAATTACCTGCAATTAAACGTTGGATAGCTTTGAAAGTGTTCTTTAACATATTAGTGCATTCTACATCCGGAACGTCGTTTCCAAGGGAATTATAAACTTGAGCCAAAGCTGTGCCACTAACTCGACTTTTTCCATTTGATAAATCTACAAATAGTATGTAACCATTTTTTCCAGCTATAGGAGCTTTTAAATCAGGTGTTATCACCTACAATAGAAATATAATGGAAAATAATGTTGAATATATAATGTTGAATATATAAATCAACTTATTACTTGTCGGATATCGGGACAAGGAGCGTAGCAAGAAACCACAAGCGTACCCGGCGCTTTAACAACATTGTTTCCAATTCGTGCAGCCATGCTAAGAGAATCCTTTCCTCCGTCAATTGCGATTCCTAATTCATTCATAATTGAACACATAGCAGAACATGCATCGTATAAAGCTGCACCTTCTCCAGGTAACTTAGCAGCCCACATCCAATTTCCACTGCATTTAACGTCCTAACAAAAAAAAATAACTAAAAATAAACATTTATTAAATTCATAATATTTATAATATTCATAAATAAATACCTGAATATCGGAGATGTGTGCAAAGACTAAATTATTCAATGCCTCTGCTACGGTCATTCGGGCTCCAGCAACTGGATTTATGAGACCTTTTATCGGTTGTTCTCCGATAGAAGTTGCTATACCAACCTAGCATATAATATTAAATTTATAAATATATTGCTAGGATAAAACATATATTAAATCTACTACATTTTTTTATTCCTGTTACGTCTTCCTTTCTTATATTTTTTACCGTTGAAAAATGAGAAATTGCCGTCACAGCAACATCAGCAAGGGGAGTATGCAGAGGGCCAACGCACTGCTGCTGTGCAATTAATCCAGTAACACAACGATCAACTTTGTTAGTTAAATATCGTTTGCTTGCTACCGAAGGTAATCGTAGGACTCTTTCTAGAACAGCTTGTACGGATAAGTTTGTTGGTAATTTAATAGCAGGTAATTGAGTCACTTGTCTTTGAAGATTAAAAGTCTATAAAGATATAAAATAGTTATCTTAATTAAATTTAATAAATTTGATTATATTTTTTTTCACCTTTTGAGGCATTTTTCCAAGCACTAATTCTAAATCCAAGTCAACTGGATGCCTTTTTTTAAACTCGTAATTCTCGTTTAAATATTTCGATGGATCACAATCGTCTTCTTCTGAAAGAATGATTTTTCCATTTCCTGTGACAGTCCCTACGAAATTGATAGGACATTTCTCTCGCGCTGCTATTTCTTTAAGTAAATTATTGTCCTCTGATTTGCAAAGAATTGCGTCATTTTCTTGATATTCGGCACCCCATAATTCCAATGTACTAATGCTTGGATCGCCCAATTCAAATTTCTTCGTGAAGATTACTGCACCCGTGGGTTCTACTAATTCTTTCAAAACGTTGCCTAAAGTAATTCCAAATGAAATTAATGATCTAAAATTATAACACTTTACAATTATATTTTTTTGAGAATATCTTTTACCATTGCCTCCAGCTCCTTGGTCATGTATACTAAGTATTGGATTCTGTTGTCCCATTTCAATGCAAGCACGTACAACTCTATTCAATTTTTGTTCCATTTCAGGATCGCCTCTTTGTACAGCTCCAAAATCCAGTTCCGTTTTGTTATCACCTTGCACCTAACGAAATAATAATTTTCTTAATTTTTTAGTGAACTATGGAGAAAGTGCGTTGTTATTTTTTTACCTCAATAGAACTAGCTGAACCGCCTCCTACGCCTATTCTATAAACAGGACCACCAATTTTAATCACCTCCATACCTAAGGTACAGAAACTTTCAATTTTTCTATGTCATTGTACAAAAAAATCATTCAAGTTTTAATTTTCACTCACCTTTTTCTGGCAAAATTTTTTGAGACATATCGGCATCCATGGTACCTAATCCTCCACTAAACATTATGGGTTTAATCCATTCACGTCGCGTACCAATTTCATCCGTCATTCCAAATGAACGAACAAAACCACATATAACTGGCTCTCCAAACTTATTGCCATAATCAGATGCTCCATTACTAGCTTCAATTATAATCTCTAACGGAGAAGCCATATTATTAGGATATGGGAGACCTTTCTCTTCCCATGGCAAATCGTAATCTAAGAAAGAGATTTACGATTTAACAGATATAACATATTTTTCCATGTATATAATTAAATAAGCTGTATAAAATACAAACCTGGGATATGCAAATTACCAACAGAATAACCAGCTGTTCCAGCAATGTAATATCCTCCCCTACCAATGCCTTGAATATCTCTCAGTCTTCCTCCAGTTCCAGTCGTAGCTCCACTATAAATTGCAATAACACTTATAAAGTATATTATAAAGTAAAGAACATTACAAGATATTTCAAAATTATTTACCTAAATGGAGCAACCCCAGTTGGAAAATTATGAGTCTCTGCAGTGAATATCAGATCATGATTTACATCTTGTAAATGGAAAGAACTGCATGTATGAGTTCTCATTGGTCGTAAAACTTTTGTATGGAAACCCTTAATTGCACTGCTATTATCGCTAAATTTAATTGTATTATTTGGATTAGAATAATTTTGCGTCTTTACGATCATATCGATTAAAGATTGTTTCATCTCTTCGCCATCGATGATCATTCGACCTTTGAAGAACCAGTGACGACTATGTTCACTATTAGATTGTGCTAAATCAAAACACTCAACACTAGTCGGATTACGCTTCAATTTGTTGAGAAATAAATCTGTATAGAAATCTAAGTCCCAACTATCAAATGCCAAACCTAAACATATTTAAAAAGAATTGAAAATAAGTTAAGTACTATTTTTATGTTCAAAATATGTACCTAACTTAGAATTCACTTTTTCTAATACTGTTCTCCCTTCTTCCAAAATATTAACTTCAAACCAATCTTCCGGTCTAAATCCATGATCAAAAGTTTCTATCGTTTTTATATATCTGCATTCAGTCATCTTGTCATACAATACATCTGTTATCTGAATAAAGAAATAAGTATAAGAGATATACATAATTTATATTAAATAAACACTATTATAGTTACATACAGCATCTTCAACTTCTTTATCAAGTAATCCATTATGTGTAATGCAATATCTAGTTACTGCTTCAATTCTTGTTATTTTGTTTAAATGTACAGATCTACAAATTGATACAGCATTGCTACAAAATGCTGTAGAAAAATTCAACCTGTAACAACATAAAAATTATTTAAATTCATATTTTACATACACATTATTTAACTAAAATAATTAATTTTTATATCATTTATCTTACCTTGGTCCAATTTCAATAACAAGACAGTTGCTTGATTTTTCATTGAATGCACTAAAATTCTTCAAATTTTGTGGCTCTAAAGGAGGAGTTAAAATCCATTTTAATACTTTTAATTCTTCTGCACTTAAAGGTTCTTTAATTTCAATGTAGTAACACAATTCTGTTTCTAAGCCACTAATCAGATTTGTTATTTGAATAAGATTATTGAACTTGCTTTTTAACTGGCCTGATTTTAGACCAGGTACTTTGTAGAACCTTATAATATTCATAATTTAAGAACTGAAAATCATAGAATGATAAAATACACTGTATAAAATAGGAAGACTGAATAATGATATACTATGATGTACTAAATTGATGATTGATTACAATTATTAAGACCCCCTAGAGTGAAATAACAAGCAAGCCAGTAAATTATCTTTATCTATCAGTGTAATAATTGCAAAATAGTATGTCTGTATCATAATAATAATATCTCAGAGTATGAGTTGAGATCAAAAGGGTATCATATTCAACATAGTACATATTTTCTATTTCTATTGAAATTATATATTTTATTTTAACTATAAATTATTTTTTTATTATTGAAAATAATTAAAATTTTTATTTTAATTTGATTATGAAATATGGATATCAATATCATTAAATATTTTTAAATAAAAATAATTGTTGTTATTGCGTCATATTTTACAAAACAGATTTGTTATCATAAACAAATAAGAAAACATATTTTTGAAAAAAGAAAAAAATACCTGAAAGCAAAAGTAAAAGTGAAATAATTTTACTGTTAAAAATATTTTAAATAGAGAAGAGAATAAAGAATAATTGCACTATATTATATGATATTGAGTTAAATTGTATAAAACTAAAAAACTGTTGAAACAATAGCTGAAAGTAAAATTACTTACTATTAATAATGTTTTATTTGTTCATATATAATATATACATATAGATATTTTTTTAATATCCTGTTCTTTTAAGTCTTAAGGGGTTTTTTACGTGTATAATTATTCAAATTATCGTATAATTATTGGAATGATGCATAACCTTGCTGTTCTTTTTCACGTGCTCTTTTACTTATCAATAACGTATCATACTTCTTCATAGAAATTTTTGCAGAAACAAAATTTAAAGGTAATAAAAAAAATATTTCGATATTTTGTTTACTCTAGTTCGTTTAATAGCTTCTTTTTCCTTATAAAGCTGAATATATTTCATAAATTGTCTCAATATGCGTATTTAAAAATACATAAAAATTATAAACATTATAAATATTTTATTGCAAGTAAAAAAAAAATACTGAAGTGCTTTTGTATATATTGTCGTATATAATTTATTCTAATTCAATATTTACAGAAAAATTTGTGTAAAAAAGATATTCGTTTTATCTATCCAAGGAAATCGTAATTAGAGACGTCCTCAAATTGTTGATTTTGTGGATTACCAGGAGCCATGGGCCTTGTAGTCATTTGCCCCCTAGGAACCATCTGTTGCTGTAACCCAATTACTTGCCTATACTGCGGTTGTGGCTATAAGATTCGAAATATTTTCAGTTAAAGATACATTTATATTCATCTTCAAGTCATAACTATTGCAATATGTATAATAATTCATACTTGTTGTAACAAATGTCTAAGACCAATGTTCGGAACGGGCCTCATCAAAGGCCTCGGAGCATTTGCTTGTTGATTCGTCATACCGGCGGGATTTAGTGCTCTTTGGGCTTGTTGAGCCTGTAACAAATTTTATTCGTTTGTTTCGTTTCTTCTTCTGTGCAAAGCTATACAACAGAATGTATGATAACTTCTAAAAAACAGTTCACCTCCAACTGTTGTTTATATTGCATTTCCTGTTGCTGTGCTACTTCTAGATTCTGTTGAATCTATAAAGTTAATTATATTATATGAATTCTGTGAAGTTTAGTACGTGTTCTGGTTTCTTTCTTTTTTCTTTTTTTCGTATGTCGTTGTGATATTTTTTTAGCTTACATTTACTTCCAGTTGCGACTTATATTGCGCCTCCTGTTGCTGTGCGGCTTCTAACGTTTGCCGTAGTTGTTGAATTTTCAACAAATTTTGTTGCCTGGCCATTTCTATGTTATCAAATGGTGGCCTTTGTTGTCCTATCATCGCACCAGAAGCTGGAGCCACTTGGGGACCAGTAATACCACCACTCTATCAGGATATTAATAAAACAAATGTTTCATTTTTATTATTTGATTATTTTTGTATATCTATGTAAATAGCATTTATTTTTTTGTATATCTATGTAAATAGCATTTATTTAAAATTCCTAATTTTTCAAATATTATCTATGTATAAACCTAATTATTTTAAATCTACTTTATTTATATTCATGGTATCTTTACTTTACCTGCATATCTATTTGATTCTGAGGGCCAGCGGATGAAGTTAATGTTTGTTGCGGAGCATTCGTAGAGACCACATTTTGAGTTATTTGGCCTCCTCCCATAGCTATAGGATTTGTTTGTGACATAAGAATACCTCCTTGAGAAGTGCCTGTAGTGGGCATTGCACCAGCTATGGCATTTCCTTGAGCAGTTCCAGCCTGATATATTGATTACATTTGATATATTAATTATAAGGACATTTAACATAACACTTCAAAATATAAATTTTGGGACTTACTTGTCCTTGCCTCATGGAAGCATGCGATGTTTTTTGTTGCTGTATTACTTTTCGAAGTCGATCTACAAAACCAGTTTGATCATTTGGAATGAATCCCAAGTATGTTCTTCTTTCAGCTGTATAGAGAAGAATAAGTATTTTTATGTCACAAGCTGCTTGCAAGAAAGTAAAATGGACACAACCCGCCTGAAATATATATTTGTTTTTATCAATAATTAAAAAAACCTTTTTTTACTTTATTATATTATATATATAGTGTAATATACTAACAAATCCCGAATTCATAACTTTTGTTAACGATTCCAAGGCTTCGCAGGGTGTTGGATGAAACAAAACGGATTTGGAATTTTTTAAATAGGTGCCACCGATATTTCCTATTAATTGTTTGGGCATCAGTTGCATAATTAATTTCTGTGGCCACGTATCCGCTTTCCTATAACACGTTAAATTTGTAATAATTCGCGATTATTAACATTTAAAAAAAAACTTACAATTCTGGATCTCCATCTTTGCAATTTGCGGAAACTTGACATGGGAGATGTCTAGTTTGTTTTGGTGCATCTGGAGTTGTTTTAGCTTTTTCAACCCATTCAATAATACCCTGCCATATCGTTTGTCTCTCACGTGGCGTGCTAATTTGCGGTCCTGGTCCTACCGTACCAACTGTTACATTACCCTTTAACAATCGCATTAATGTGATTCGTATTTCTTTTTTTCATCTCATAAATATTTCAACTTTTTTTTATAATTGAAGTAACATAAAATACCTGTGTCTGAGGATGCGTTATTTGCTGTTGTTGAGTAACCGATGATACAGATGCTTGTGTCTGAGAAGCAGTAACTGTTTGTGGTACTTGTGTAGGCACAGACTGACTCACACAAGATACCGTAAGTTGCGGTCCAGCTTGTCCGTGTGTTGGCTGAGCCGTTATTGGCATTGAAGATGGTTGCTGGACATTTTGTTGTTGCTGCTGCTGTTGTTGTTGTTGTTGTAATTGCATTGTTATTCTCAATTGTTGTTGTTGAGTTAATTGCTGCTGCTGCTGTTGTTGTTGCTGTTGCTGCTGCTGTTGTGCATTTGCAGCCATAACATTGGTATTTGTCACTATAAAATGCACATTAACATATTAACTTTCTGAATAAAAATAATTAACAAAACATTAGAAAGTAATATTTTTACCATCCATTCGTTGCCCAAACGGAGGTACATTGAGTCCCATTGAAGGAGGTGGTTGGTTCAATTGCGCTATTAAAGCACTGCTTTGTGTATTTGTTGGGCCTGTTGGCACAAATGGTGGCAAATTCCGCCATCTAGGTTGACCTGCTCTTGGAGGATGATAAGTTGGTGGAGCAGATATTTGAGGATTATAAGGAGGTCGGCCAGTGTTCATTGCAGCAGCCATTGGTACTACTGTTGGATGAACTGAAGTAATATTTTGAGGAGTTTGACTTCTAAATGGAGGAACTTGAGGTTGAGCCGGTTGTGCAATATTCTGTTGCACCTGATTGGTAGTCGGACTGTCGTTGCTCTGTAATGGACTCAATGGAATTTGGGCAGCAGTACCTGGAGTAGTATGAACAGCTCCACCGATTGTAGGACTGACAGGTCTTTCTTTTAAATTATAATTACGCAACAGGACCAAATGTCGCGGGTCTTTAGCATAATTTTTTGTCTGTGATGATTGCAGATCACCTCCGGCTTTTTCAAATAACTTAAATAGCGCAGGTATTTTTCGAGGTGACAATATGGAGAGATTAATGTTTCTCTGAAAAGAAAAAGGTTTATTTTATCTGAGTTTAAATTGTAATCTTTATCCATGTAATTAATTGCAATTTACTTCTTGATAAAGTGACGCCAACTGTTCTATAGTATGTCCAGCAAATTTATATGATTCCTGTATGACTGTCTGATATGGAGGAGAATTACAAATCAAGATACAATGTTTTTGCGATGCTGTATTTGGTTCACGACGTAATTGTAGATCCTCAAAACATTGTAGTCCAGTTGCAAGTCCTTCCCCAATATTTGCATAACATTCCCCTTTTCCTCCAACCATTCTATTTACAGAAACATTAATAATAGTAAACAGAAACATTACATTGTTCATCAACGAACTTAGAAATCTGTTTGTTAATGAAAAAATTTCAAAAAAAAGTGTTGTACATACTCTAATTTTTCTAGTACAAGTAGTAATTTATGAGGATTTGCATATGGTCCAAAAGTCTCCGTACATGGTGCTGGTAAACAATCAGCAGCATGATATACTACTATCCCATACAATGTTGTGCTATTTTGCTAAAAAAAAATCTTTGTTATTAAATATAAAAAGAAAATGTTTAAGAAATAAGAAATATTCTAAAATATGAAACATAGTTAATGTTAATTTACCTCAGAAACATACTCTCTGTCTTCGATACCACCTTGACTAAAATACCTATATAATATAATATTCTTTAATAAACATCTACACACAAAACAAAAAATATTTAACAATACATTAATATACTTACTCAAGAGTAGGAGTAAGATAATTTGTTTTCAAATCATTAAGGTAAGCTCCGTTAACAGCTGTTCCCTCAATTACAAATATTACGTCAGCTTGTATACCATGTTCAGTAGGACCCGCAACCATTTTTACTCCACTCTTTAAAACATCACAAACAGTATGTAAAAAGAAATGATATAATACTCTTGACACAAATACAATACATAAATCACAGTTGTTTTTTTAAAATATCACGTTAAAATTAAATAAAGCAAGAAAAGTTTTGTCTATTTATTTTACAATGATATACTTATTTGAATCCCTATTTAATCTTTTTAGTTTTTAATACTCAATATTTAATTGCAAATTACATCAATGTATAGCATGTAATATGGGACTTACTAAGAGTTTATAAGACAAATATTGACATCGACGACTATATCACTTCATATTCATTACTAATTGCATATTAGAATCAGAATCTTTTCAGTACTATAGCCGATCATTTGTCAAACAGTTTGTAGGTTATGCTTACTCACTATGTGTAATTTTTTGTAAGCATTAATTAATTTCATTATACCTGTTGCTAATACAATATGAAATAAAATATGTTAATATATTACTATTACACTACCACTGATACTATTACTATTATTATTACATAATTTATACTGAAACATTAAATGGCACAAACCATTTTAAGGTGACGGTTTCTAAGTTTGCCTCATCAATTTTAGAGATTTAAGTGATTCCAAGAGAAGACAGTTTCATGTAAAGTATAAACGAGAACACTTCACGTAAAATATAAAATTTTCAAATTCGTACATATACATATTTAATAAAAGAAATTCAATATAACGCACAGACTGATAAAATACTCACAAGAATATCAAGATTTCAAGATTACGAATGTATCCTGATTTTTGATCACGTTCATGGAAAGGGTGCTTAAATTACCGAACTGATGAAATTCAAGATACTTTGATCACCTTCTAGTATGTATATTCATTGTACGTGGCCGAGTCACGTGATTGTAATCGTTGTTTCAAAATAATTCAATTTGTAAACAAATTTACGAATTGTATTAATATAATTGTATATAATAATGTAAAAATTAGGTAAAAAGGATTTAAAAAGTGTATTTGTGTATAATTTGCATGTTCTTATAATCAGAAAATAGCTGAAAGATCGGTGGCAATACAAGTAAGTTTATTAAATAATTTTTTAATGTATTTTGTACAAAGAAAAACTTATTGTTATATATTACAAAAATAAAATAAAAAAAAATATATATATATATA